AGGGAAAGTGAAAATGAATAGAGGAAACAGTTAATACCTTACAGTCCAACCTACAAAGTCTCCCTTCATGTGCTACCATGTCACCTGGAGCCTGTAGAAAGTATGGCCTGAAAAAGCGTTCTTGAACTGCCTCTTTGTCCCCTTCTGGAACCCGGGGTCGTGTTCTGAAACACAAAAATTGCATGGATATGTTTGGAAGTCAAACTTTTTTTTCCTAATGCTTAAAAAAGGAATAAATTGTGGAAAAGGATGAACAGATAGCTTGGGTTAAATAAAAGGGCAGAAAGAAATGGACTGATTGTAATTTAATACTTGCATATTTTCCATTTAGAAAGATTATCAAATTAACTGTATCGTGTAGTATCATTGGATTCCCAAGCTGTCCTTCACTTCTTTTTGCTTTTTTTGGCTGAATTTCAACTTGCTAATCCATCCCTTGCCTTTAACTCCACTGCAACAGGTAAATGAAATCATACTTTACACTTAAATTTCCCTGTATTTGAAGATGACCTTCAAAAATGTTACATTCTAGAAGTGTCCTGTTGGGAGGGAATTGCTGCTGTTATTTCCATTTTATGGTTAAGAACTGAAGTACAGAGTGCGTTGTACAGTAGCTAGTTATTTTGAATGCCTTCAGTAAGAAGCATAAAGAGGGTCTGAAGGACTTGTCTTTCCTTTTACCTGTGAGGCTGAATTGTTGATATTCGGCCCCGAACAGGGATACTCTGAACCATCAGATGGCCTGAACAACTGATTCTCCCCTGCAAATCACAATGGAAACAGAATTAATAGTTGGTTAATAGCTCATTTCATTTTAAAGTATAAATATTTAACATTTACAATGCATTAGGATTTATTTTTACAAAGTAACTGAGCTATAGTGTAAATATTACTTTTTCAAAGCAAATGCTATTAGCATGCGGTCGAGTGCAGTTGAGGCAGGGGTTTCTTCGCGTGCCTAGAGCAGTGTGTTTCTCAGACTCTTCAAGGCTGTGGCAACGCATTTAGCAGTGGTGCTATGTAAACCAGCTTAAGCAGTGTCTGTCCCTGCTTGTTCATGCCTGCCCCTGTGTCTCCACAGGTACTGTCTGATAGTGCCTTTGTACTAGCATCCTTGTTCGTGCAGCCACACAGAAACTGAAAAGTAGTTGGGCTGAAATATGATTCAGAAAAAAGGAAAAATATAAACTGGAAAAAGTTGCCTGATCTACTTGACTGTAGTGCTGAATAAACAGCTAAGCTAGCACATAGGGTGAAGGACAATGGCATTAGGGGATGAGCCTATTTGCAGATCCACATCTTTGCATCCTAGATAAAGACTAATTGTGTTTAGTAACACTTCCAAATTTCATGTAAATTTTTGTTTCCCCTTGCTCTGTTCTTTCTGCCTGAAATATCATGTCTGTCTTGTCACCACATCTCAAAAAGTATCTATCAGCAACAGAGGGGGGGGGTCAGAAGATAGAGCAGGAGTTATTAATGTGAAAAAATATCCTTAATGATTGTGACTGGGATGTGTAAGAATAGGGGAGGAGTTTCATCATTCTTCATTACATGGTTTCCTCTGCTGTCCTCTGAAGCATCTGATTTTTGATACAGTCACCACTCAATGTCAGACTAGGTGGCCCAATCTGTGTTCCTATTAACATGTATTAGAAAAAGATGAAACAAGCATTTTTGTAGAGGAAAATAAAACACCTTACTTGTGGGTTTGCAGCCATAATCGTGTAGTTGCCATCATCATCATTAGTAGAAGCTTCAATATGTAAAGAACATGTTCCATCTTCTTCTCTGTTCATTTTGAAATGCGTGTTTTTCTTTGAAATCTGCTTGCCATCCTTGAACCAGTATACCTGTAGTGATCAGATCCCCCCCCAGTGACTTAACACTTGCTCTGTAGTGGAATAGTGACTAGAAAAAATGTAGATAAGAACATGATATAAGTTGAACAATTGCTAGTAAAAATTTTAGAATATTATAAAATTTGCAGATCAGTTACAATGTGAAATAGAATGATTCCAGGTTGAACTCAGAAAGGTGCATATCTCCTTTACATAGCTGGGCCTGTCAGGCTCTCTTTTCTTGGCTATAGACACATTGCTGGTTATCTCAGATCAGTTCTCATCTTTCTGAGAAGTTAATTTTTGGGGGGTTTATGAAGTTCCGTTTCTCTTGGAGTCAGGTGGTTGGGAGGCATTCCATACAGTACATCAAGGCCTGATACATGCTCAGGAGCAGATGTTGCTATTTTAGAAAGCCGGGGGGGAATAATTTGTTTTAGAGCTCTCTCCACAGAGCCATGTTCTTAGGAGTGAGACTTTCCAGAGGGATGTATAGAAAATAGCGGGTAGTTGATTTTTATTCCTTCACCACTAACAGTGAGAATGACCTACCTTGGGAACTGGTATTCCAACTATTTTGCAAGTGAATGTAATAGGAGATCCTTCCATTACCCGAAAATGCTTGAGTCTCTTGTCAAAGATCGGTGCTATGTATTTGCCTGTAGGGATTTCCTCGTGTTGGACTTCATCGTCTGATTCATCCACTGGGGTACGTTCAAGGCGAAATTCAATTTCGTTCATCAGTCTCTGCTCAAAGCTTGAAATCCTGTATTCCTGCAGAGTGAGAGAGGCACGGTTCTGAACAAGACGAGTCGCGTTCTGTGGTATTTGTAGTCATTTGCACTTTTAGACTAATTCTAAAATGAGTGAAAACAGAAAAGCCTCCATGAACTAGGACGTATTGAAACATTCTGAATTTGGTCTGCAGACACAGATTCTCACTGCATCTTAAGTCTGCAGAATGTAACTAATGAAACTGAGTTTTTTCAAAGGCAGCTAAAAAATCAAACATGTAATTCCTTGAAGTCCCTATGAAAAAACGGTACTCTTGTACACTGTTGATCAAAAAAGATCATTAAAATATACCAAATTTCTGAGGATTTTGTGTTCAAATATTACTCACCTGCTAATTATAGAAATGAATACTGCTATACATTTCAATTCAGAATTAAATAAGGAAAACTATACCTGCTAAAAGGGAAAGCTAGGAAGGAAGTGAAATATTTTTAGAGTAATTTACCTTCAGGTTAAAACTTGACCAGATTTCTAGCTGGTGTAACTGAGAAAGCAAAACATAACACGTTTAAATCCTTAGAAGATTAAACAGATGAGGCAAGAAAACCAGTATATTTCTACATAAATGACCATTTCCGGATAGTTTGATGTGATTATGAGCCTCCTCCTAATCCCCTGAAGTCAATTAGAAACCTCTCGTTACTCAGCTGGTTTGTATGAGGATGTCTCTTGTCTAGACCAAGAGACGTGTGACCAAACGTCTCTTGCTGTGGCATGTGAAGCTTCAGACCAACAACCAGCTTCAGATTTTGATACCAAACCAATGTTTATCCTGGGCATGGTGGAGCACTACAGATACACCTGAATGGACTTCTCTGGGAGCAGATGCTGCCTAGTTACACTAACATAGACAGCTACAAGAATATCTTGCTTAAGTCATTATAAACTATCTTGTGAGGAAGCTTGTATGTATCATATTGTACCATATGTAGGCCCGTAGCAGTAACCGAATTGGTTTGCTCGGACCTGGATTTAGGCAATTTGTAAGTCCAG